AATGCCCCATCCCTGGAAGTGTTCAAGGCCAGGTTGGATGGGGCTTTGGGCAACGTGGTCTAGTGGAGGGTGTCCCTGCCCACAGCTGGGGGGGTTGGAACTAGATGATCTTTGAGGTCCCTTCCAACCCAGACCATTCTATGATTCTATCAGTTCAAACAATGTTAACACTGAGAATGTAAAAATGCCATAATAAGGAGCACCTCTTTTAGCATAACGATGTGTTTGCTAGATGATATCGTTTTCAGAAATAGTATCTTACTAGGCATACCACACTCTAAACATTCCTTTTTAGAGCAGCTAAGTATTACCTCTTTAGCTTGCTGAAGGAAAGTCATAATATGTCACCATATGCAATTCAGATTTGCTATGTAATGGAAAAAAATGGATACATATTTTAAATTTCTTTTATAGGATTCTTGCAGATCTCATTCCCTTCACCTAGAGTTGGGTTTGTTCGGTGCGGCTCAAGTTGAAGCCTGTGTCGTAGCGCTATGCTATTGAATACAAGTATGTCTTGATGAATGTTGTCTTCTGTAATCGGACTGCTTCAGATCTTGGGCTTTCTGCTCTCCACAGGTTTTTAAAACAACAATAACAAACAAACCAAATACCATTATAAATCCTTTCTAGAAGGCTTATTTGACTATGTCACTCGCTGTAGTAAAATTAACAGTATATCAAGAAAATTAACAGTTTCTTCACTGCAGTCTTCCATATTTGCTGTCTTATAAGCGAGACAGCTCAGATGCGTGAAAGTCAGTTGGCCTGTAAACATATGCAGGGAGCCTTAATGTTATGTTAGAAAAGTGTCTGTGTGTGTTGTGGGTGTGTGTGTTGTCCTTGTCTCTTTCTATATATATACTTTTTTTTAAAATTCTTTCTCATTATTTTATTTAAAAGGCATGGTAAGTGTCTGAAACTAAGGCAGTCTCTCTTGAGATGTACCACTTCGATTGGCGGGTCTCAGATCATCTAGTGCTGTGTAGGTAAAACTGACTGAAAGTCTCTCTGGTGTGCAGCACAGATTTATTGGACATGTGAACAGGAAGGATGGTTAACCAAACGGAAGGTGGTGGGCTGCAGCATCTGCAGTTCCTAGATTTATGCTGCCCCTCTCTGTGGCTGCCAGCCCTGTGTGGTGTGTGTGCATTTTTTGCCTTTCCATTTGTTCATACAGCCCTGCTTTCTCAACCTGTGTCTAGCAGATCTGTGGGAATCAGCAAGACTCTTCTCTCCCAACTTTTCTCTCTTGCTATTAGGAAAGTTGTTTCTGCTCTGAGAGCAGGGAAGTATCTGGTTTCTGCTGTTAAGCTGTTGGTATTCTAGAGGACAATCCACTCTACTCTGCTAGTTGTTGGCTGAAGCAGGAAAGGAAACTGGTGGAAGTAAGGACACTTAGGCAGGTGGTAATAAGGGGACCAGTCACAGTGGAGACAGTGGATAAACGCCAGGAGGAGGTGATGGAGGTAGTGATGAACCTACCTTCACATCACCAGTTCTTTCCAATTTCCCACCTCTCCAGGAAGTTTAATGTTCAGATTCTCATATTTGTTTTTCCTTTCTTAGATTTTGTTTTCATCTTGTTTCCTGAAGTTCCTCAAAAATGTGCTCTTTTGACATTGTAGCAGCCTTGGCAAAGCTGGTAAAGGGAGTTGGTGATACCAGGGTGTTAAATTGGCTGTTTCTACAGTTGAAAATAGTGATTTTGCACACTTGCTTTCTGCATTATAGATTGAAATGTATTTTCTTTGTGTTTCAGGAACACTCCTCATCCATTAATCAGTGTCCTTGAAAACAGACCTGATTGCTGGCCAGTTCTACTGCAGCAGATAACAGTATTTTTCCATCAATGTCCAGAGAGGTAAATGAATGAATAATTAAAAAATAGCAGATGTGGATAACTGAATCCTATCAGTACAACTTTTTTCTTGAGGGCAGCTTTAGTGAGCAGTAAGAATTCTGTCTTTTTTCAGAAGATAATTATAAAATTTAATGATACCATTTAAAGGTTAAAAGTAGAATATTAATAAAATACTAGAATAATACATCAAAATTGATTTTTTAATAGTTTTTTCTTAACTCTTTTATGTTGATATAATTTTTATGGATGTGGAAAAATTGGTGCAAAATTGATAGCACCTTTGGAATTATTATATTATCAACAGTAAGACTCTCAAGCAAGAATGTGTTTTGTTCAATTTAATTGATCAGAGTATTTTTAAAATACTGTTTACAGACTTGTTCACTCAGCTGCTAAACCTGGGACTCATGAAGAGTCCTGTCAGATGTCTGAATGATGGAATGAACTGTGGATTTTTGCTGGTGGCTTGTTTTGAATTAAAACAGGAGTTGTTCTTGCTGAAAAGGAAAATATCTTAAATTTCCTTTGCTGCTTTTTGTGCAAAGGTTTCTGTGAAATAAAGTTCTAGACTAAGAATATAGAATCATAGAATCACTGAGGTTGAAGAAGACCCTTAAGAGCATGGAGTCCAACTGTTAACACTGCCAGGTCCACCACTAACCCATGTCCCTGAGTGCAATGTCAACAAGCACCACATGTGTTGATGTAGATGTATCACTGAGTTCTTTGTAAAGCTGTGCATCAGGGCTGAGTCTTGTTTAAAACTGACTTTTAATTTTGATTCCCTGTATATTTGTTAATGTATTGATCATTAGCTTTATTCAATTGTTTTAGTAAGGTCAAGAGCAGCTGTTATTCCTAACATAGTCAAGCCAAAATAATTGTTCTGTATTAATTTTTTCCTGAGAATCCATCTTGGTTAAAGCAGTTCCTCTTTTATATAATTGTTTAAGTCTGTTGGACAAAAACTCACAAGGAATGGATGGCTCTTTCTAATTGAATTTAGGGTTTTTGTGTTTTAAAAAGATATTTCTGAATAGTCTTGTGCAAATGCTACTTCAGAATGGCAAACTAGTCTCTCATGACATTCAGCAAGGTAAGTCACTTACTTGTAATGGATGAGGAAAAAGAAAAGAATAAAATTGAGTGTCATAATCAGCAAGTATATATTGAGTAGTATTCATGCTTAAATACTGAGTCTTTTCACAGTTGCACTTCATTGTATGGTTGCTACATACATCACAGTACTTTGTGCTAATAAGTCAAAGGGGTTTTGTGAGATTTAGTAATACCTTCAATAACACCTTTCTGTTAATTGCATCCTGTAAATTGTTGTAGGGAATGTCGCATTGCTTGGGTTTTCCTTGACAATTGTTAAGTTTTCAGTAGAAAACAATCTTGACAAACTTACTTCTTGAACTGCAGGGCACAGAGTTCATGTGTTGGCGTAATGGCACCATTTCTAAGATACCTGTATTGCGAACCATCTCAGTTAAGGGAATATGCTGAACTGCGAATGGGTTTACTGAAGATCTTACTTCAGCCTCATGGTCTAAAGCACAAAGAAGCACCCTCCATGCTGGAATGCCAGATTCTTCAACTTCTATGTGATTTCATTCCACACCTTCAGGTACAGTTGTTGCCTGACCCCACCTTTTAAAAAATAAATGCTATCAAAGCAATGATAGCGTTGTTATTGTTGCCTTTCAAGTGTACAAATATAGCATTCTCTTCCATTACCTATAGACCTGATGTGCTGGTAGTATGGAAATCTAACAAACTGGCTCTTTCTGGTAGAAGGTAAAACTTTCTAATTGTTCAAGTCTGATACACCTGGTGAGATGTAAATTGAAACACACATTTACCGTAGCTATTTGCCACTAGTTGCCTCAGTAATCATATGGGAAACTTGTAGAGATACCCATGACAGACAGAATGTTGTTAAATTGGAAGATACTTGTCAAAAACATGCAATTTTTAACTTAACATGGACAACATTAAAATGAAACAAACTATATGAGACACATGATTTAAGTACTCCTAGATATTCCTTTCTTTTGTGATGGAGGGATTAGTGAATATGAAGACAAAACTTAATCCTTCTGGAATATGCTGAAGTTTTTTGATATATTTTTGAGTTGCACAGTAGTACTTGCTAGGAGCTAGGGATTTAATCTTTCAGTCGTTTTTGGTTAGGGGTCTAGGGTGTTGGTTAAAGTTAGTAGCTCTGCTTGTATAATAACTTGTATTATACACATTTAACTTGGTTCGGGTCTACTTTTTGTGATGACAGGTATATGCTGGTTTATTTTTTTTTCTAGTCACAGGGACATTTTGTCTTTATTCTACCTGAACTTCAGTACAACATTGTGTCCTGAATGAATAACCAAGTCTCTGACTTGGTGACATTTAGCCATAAAAATGGCACTGAAAAAGACTTATAAAATTAGTTATGAACCTTTCTTTCCTCCATGCATATTGGCACTTTTTTAAAAAAATTGGAAATCTGTTGCATTTTTTTAAACTCATATGAATACTTGAATGTTTTTGTCTTGCCTGAGATATTACTTTCACAATGGAGAGGGAAATACTTCCTTCAAGAAGCCTATTTGATGGACTGTTTTATAACCTGTCATTCCTTCTCTTTTCTCTGAACCTCAGGTGGTTCTTATCATGCCTTTATGCTTAACATTATTTAATCCTCTGTATTGTGTAAATGCTGAAATGCTTCCTAGTCATTTTGTCTGACAATGTCAACCAAGCTGTCAAAAGTACAGCTTGTCACCTGCAGACTTTTCTGCTGAAAAATTCATGGACATGAGGCTTCTGGTATGAGCAGATTATTCATGGAATTTGTTCCAAAGGACTGAAAATCAGCATGTTATCCTTAATCATATAATGGTTTGGGTTGGAAGGGACCTTAAAGTTCATACAGTTCCAACCCCCCCCCGGCATGGGCAGGGACACCCTCGACTAGACCAGGTTGCCCAAAGCCCCATCCAACCTGGCCTTGAACACTTCCAGGGAGGGGCCATCCACAACTTGTCTGGCCACCCAGCTGGCTCCAGAGTTAGGACTGGAGCAGCTGGGTTTGTCTGGAACTAGAATATTCAAGAGCAGAAATGTTCTCATCTAACATATTAGGATTTTGAGGTAACCTGCTTCTTGGAACCTCTTTACTTGGCTTCCAGGTATGGAGATACTGCTTTTGGTATTGCACTTCAGTTTTTCATTTGTGTAGTAGGTAGAATACATGGTGCTCTAGAAGCAGATAACACCATTGCCTTTTCCTTTTGAGACATATGTTAAAATCTTGATTGCATTATGGAGGAAATGTCCAAGAGCAGGATATATCTGTTACAAGAAAATTTACCTCCTCTATGAAATCCACATACAGTTTGGTTTATGTTGCTGAGTGAACCCCAACAACTGAATTAATTTGCTATTGCTTTTGAGGAAAAAGGGATTTTTCTCATCAGCTACCAAGAAATCTTTTTATTCTTTCACATATTTCTATTTTTACTTCAAAACATTAAATAGCAATTCATCTATTGTTTTTTTTCAGGGAAGTTGGATAAGAGATTGCTGGGTTTAGTTTATAAATGTGTTTCTTCAAAGTCTTTGTAATATTTGCAATATTTGCAATTGCAGAGCTAACAGAACTAATTCTAAACTTGGGGGATTCTGCATAGATAGGAAAGGGGAACTAAACCAGAATGTGTTTTGGTTTTGTTTTTTAACTACCTCTCTACAGCTTAAAGATATACAGCAAGTTACAGAAACCTTGTTTTTTCTGCAAGAGCTAATCCTCAGCCTACTGCGCTATCCTGTGTTTTGGAAAGTTCAGTTATCTCAGTTTTGTCTGCAACTATTATGCTTCTGTGAAGTGTGTTTAAACATAACAGGAGAATGCTCATCTCTGATCTCCTTAATAGAGGACAACTTTGAGCTCTTAAAAGAGGTAAGAGTTCATGGGGAAAAAATAAAATAGTTTTATTAAATTTAAAGAATGTCATTTTTAAGGCAATATTTATAGACATTGATACATGACACTCATCTGCAAGTGACCAGTGTTGTTTCAAAAGCATCGTAATTTTTTTTTTCTTAGTTGAAGACCTTCAGAAGGCTAAAACTTAGCTGGTTCTGTAGATATAAGTTAACTTTTTAGTATGGGAGTTGGTTTAAACTGAGCTAAAAAGGTTTGAATGAAGTAACAAATTAAAATCTTGTTGTTACTCACTTAAAGTAGTATTTTTACACTATTCATGTTCTTCATTGCGTGTGCTGTGTCACTATGTGTGCACTCACTATGATTCATGAAGAAACTCCTTATAGGGTTTTGGTTGTTGCCTGTTTGTACTGTGTACTGCCACTGAAAAACAAAAGAAGAATTGAACCTCTTTCTTCTTCCCTTGTAGGTATTTCCAGTGCCACAGTGTATAATTGGGCTAGCGCTTCTACTGCTGCAAACACCAGAAAGTCAGCAAAAGCCTGTCTTGAGTCTAGGTAAAGCTTTTGTGAAAGAGGAATCCACACTCTTAAGACTGTGTCTTTGTTTCTTCATGTTTATGAAAATAAGCACTGCATTCCCCTAAAGTTCAATTGGGTGGTGAATTACTTTTTTTATACGCAGAATTTTTCCTGAATTTAAAAAGTAACGTTTGATCTAATGGCAATATAGATTTTTCCTGGTACACTGACTTTTTCTGTGGATGTTACTGTATTCTAAGCTCCCTGTGATCTTGGAGCTTATCTGTTTCATTTTTGAGTCAACAGCAGGATATTCTCAGCTGAGGTTCATGCATCCTGAATGGTTTCTTTTGACAGATCTTTAGAAAGCAGGCTTGACAGTCGTGGCAATGTTTGTCTGAGCTTTTGACTTAGCAGTTTTGATTAGTGGAGTTACTCCAGTAAAAATGCGGGACTGTGCTACATTCCATTATTGTATTTCTTGCTGCCATCAGGTACTTTGCTATAAATAACAGAAACATATGGATCTCTAAATAGAATTGGAGTTTTACAAAAAAATCTTTTGCACTCTAACTCCAGTATGCACATACTGTAATTCTGGGGACTGTTACTTTCCTTGACCAGTGTGTTTCCTAGAAATATTTGTGTCGTGCCTAAAAGTACAAATCACGTTAGTTCCTTTTTTCCCTACCTGATCTTTGTTTTTCCCCACCTTGTCTTAAATAGCCTACAAGCTCCTTTCCTGTTCAGAAACCCAGAACACCTCAACTATAGCCCTTACTTTGGTGATGCCTGTGCTACAGATCTTGTCTTCTACAACAGTTGGGGACTGCCTATCAGAGGATGATTGTGGACCTACCAGGCAGCAGCTGGCTGCAAATCTTTTGGCAATGTTACAGGAGGAAGGTGTGAAGGCTAAAAAGGAATTGGTAAAGTTACAAGTTTTTTTCCTTCTTTTGGGGCAGGTAGGGTATGCATTTAACAATTTTGCTGCATTTCACCTAGCTGCTTGGGAAAGACTCAAGCATTGTATAATATGTTGTATGGAAACACTCAAAAATATGTATAGTCCATAAAACTAGAGTACTGGTAAAGTGTGTTTGTATGCTAGATACTGTTTAACTTAGGAGGTGGGATTTTTTTACTTTTATGTACTGTATAGATTAAAGAATTAATGTGCATTATTAATCAAATAACAGGACTTAGTAGAAAACAAGGTTATGTATACTTAGTCTCTTTCAGACTTGCTTATTCTACTCATCCATATCCTTTTCCTTACAATCATATGTGACTGTTAGCTATCGTTCTGTCTCCTTTGGCTGAAGAGAATTACAGAACACATAAACGTCACTTAGCAAATTTCAGCTCATTATCCTGGATCTTTTTACCTGTGCCATTGGTTTTTTGTTTTTATTTATTTATCATAGAATCATAGAATGGTTTGGGTTGGAAGGGACCTCAAAGATCATCTAGTTCCAACCCCCCTGCTACAAGCAGGGCCCCCCTCCACTAGACCAGGTTGCCCAAAGCCCCATCCAACCTGGCCTTGAAGTTGGCCCCAGGGAAGGGGCATCCACAGCTCCTCTGGGCAACCTTGTCCAGTGTTTCACCACTCTCATAGTGAAGAATTTCTTCCTTACATCTAGTCTGAACCTACCCTCTTTTAGTTTACAATCATTATGCCTTGTCCTATCTCAGCAGACCCTGCTAAAAAGTTTGTCCCCGTCTTTCTTATAAGCCCCCTTTTAAATACTGGAAGGCTGCAATTAGGTCTCCCTGGAGCCTTCTGTTCTCCAGGCTGAACAACCTCAACTCTCTCAGCCTGTCCTCACAGGAGAGGTGCTCCAGCCCTCTGATCAGCTTCGTGGTCCTCCTCTGGACTCGCTCCAACAGCTCCATGTCTCTCTTGTACTGGGGACCCCAGAGCTGGATGCAGTACTCCAGGTGGGGTCTCACAAGAGTGGAGTAGAGGGGCAGGATCACCTCCCTCGACCTGCTGGTCACACTGCTTTTGATGCAGCCCAAGATATGTTTGACTTTCTGGGCTGCAAGCACACATTGTTGGTTCATGTTGAGCTTCTCATCAATGAATACCCCCAAGTCCTTCTCCTCAGGGCTGCTTTCAATCCATCCCTTGCCCAGCGTATAGCTGTGCTTGGGATTGCGCTGACCCACGTGCAGGACCTTGCACTTGGCCTTGATGAACTTCATGTGGTTTGGATGGGCTCACCCTCAAGCCTGTCAAGGTCCCTCTGGATGGCATGCCTTCCCTCCAGCATGTTGGCCATACCCCACAGGTTGGTGTCGTTGGCGTACTTGCTGAGGGTGCACTTGATCCCATTGTCCATGTTGCTGACAAAGATGTTGAACAGTGCCGGTCCCAGTACCGACCCCTGACAATCTGTGTCTTGCCAGTTTGTCCAGGAGAAGGTTGTGGGAAAGTGTTGAACACTTTGCTGAAGCCCAGGCAAGCAACATCCACTGATCTCTCCATCTCAACAGATGTTGTTGTAGAAGGTGATTAGGTTAGTCTAGGATGAGTTGCCTTTGGTAAATTTGTGCTGGGTTTTCCAAATCACCTGCTTCATTTGGTTTGTAATAGTTTCTAGGAGGAGGTGTTCTACCACTTTCCCAGGGACTGAAGCTAAGCTAATGGGCCTGTAGTTTCCTGGGTCCTTTTTTGGGCCATTCTTGTAGATGGGTATGAGATTTGCCTCCATCCAGTCATCAGGGATGCCCCCTGATCTCCACGACTTTTCAAAGATTATAGACAGTGGCCTTACAACAATGACAGCCAGTTCTTTTAACACCCTGGGGTGGATTCCCTCCAGGTCCATCAATTTATGTGTGTTGAGCCCTTGCAGAGAGCCACTACTGGTGGGTCAACACATGCGTTGTCATAGGTGCTTGAGTCTGGGATCTGGGATCCAACTACACTGCTAAAGACAGAGGAAAGAAGGTATTGAGAACCTCTGCCTTGTCAGCATTATTAGTAACTTGCTTCCCTGGCCTGTTTGGTAATGGGCATGTGTCTTCCCTGTGCTTCTGCTCATGCGTCTGAAGAACCCTTTCTTCTTTTTGACATCTCTGTCCAATTTCAGTTCTAGCAGAGCCTTAACCTTCCTGTCTGCATCTCTGCATTCCCTAGCAAGATTCTTGTAGTCCTCCATGGATATGTGGCTGCCTTTGCATAGCCAGTATGCTTCTTTTTTGCTTTTAACCACCCCCAAAAGCTGTATTTTCTTCAATGTCTTCTTTTTTTGCAGTGACGGTAATGGGAAATTGTTCTAGTCCCAAGAATTTGAAAAATGTTAGGATGTGGCTAACCTGCACTTCTGCTTTGCCATTGAGGGATGTTATATAGGTCTTTCAGTGTTGGCAGGCTGAAGTTTTCTCCCTAACCCGCTTGAATGAGGTGCAGCACTAAAGTAAAAATATGGTGATAGCTTTTTTTCATGCAGGTGAAATAAAGGGAGAAGGGAGTGAGTGAAAAAAAGACTGTAATAGCCTGATCTTGATTTCAAGTCCTACGATCTTGCAGGGGCATGCAACTAAACAGTACAACTTACAGATCCCGAAGCTCTTCTTAGCCTACTGTATGCCATTGGATAAAGTTTAAATATCTTTATCAATAAACTGCAGTTTCCCAGCTGTATCCAAAAGAGGTTTTTGGCTCCAAGTGATCTTGCCAGCCAGAAAGATGGCATTATAGATTGCTGAATTTTTCATATACAGTAATTGTAATGCATAAGTAATAGCATATGCTAATTTTAATGTTATTTTAAAGAGGCCATCTAAAGTACGGGGGCATGCTACCTTCCATTAGCCAAAATAAATTTGCATTGCATTCAACAGTGTGATTAAAATGAGATTCTGCAGTTTTATGGAGAACAGTTTTTGCCACTCAAAATCTCTTTTTCCCTGGTAATTTAAAGGTGAATGGGCCTGCCCTGTTGGAGTCTGAATCCCATTTTTAATGTTCATTTGGAGACCTCTTTTCAAATACTTTCTTGACTTGATTTTTTATACATGTTCTTCATCTAATCACTGCCTGCCAACTGCTGTCTTGATAATGGAAAGACATTTCTGAAAACATAGTGTTTTCTAAGGAAACAAAGATTTAGTGGGAAAGAGATGGTTTGTCTTTGATTAAGGTTTTTTGTTTTAATGAAAAACTTTGAACTTCTGCCTTAATTTGCAGGAGCTTTAAAATATACATACTTTTACATATATAAAAACCTGAGTAAGAAAGGTTCTTCATTTGTATTTTGCTACTTCCCTGCTTCTACGTGTTATCTTCTATGACTGCATCTATAGAACATTTTGTTCTGAGAAGTGAAACAGGTAAACAAAAAATGTAAAGTTGGATTAACTTAAACTGTGGTGTTATATTAAGTACTATTAAGAGTTAAAAGAATTCCTTAAAATAAGGTAGATAATACTTACACTTTTGGGATGCACCTGTCATTGTCAGGAATGGAAGCTTTTAATATACTACCAGTTTTATTGTGCCCATTTTAGTAAGGAAGCAGCACTGCAGTTACCAGCAGGAACAGGAATGATGGATGACAGGTAGAGGAGGAACTCCTGAATAGGGACTTAGCAATGCATTCAAACATCCTTAGTGCAAGAATTCATATAAAAGACTGTAAAGAAATTTATTGCAATTTACTGTTTACATTTATTGTATTTGGACCCTAAAGAAAAAAAAAAGTTTTGGATTAGTTATGTTTTTTCTTTGTTCTTTCATGCTACCTTATTTGACAATTTTGTTTGTTTCACTTCTTCTCAGGTGTCCCACAAGCTCCTTTTCCCAATAAACAGCTCTTACAGCTCATTGTATACAACCTGGAAGATCATAGAGCTCATGAGAGAGAAGACTGCAGTTGCTAACTGGTTATCTTCAGTGAAATCACTGCTACCTGTTACAACTCAAGTCCCTGCCCATGTGTTTCTGCTGCTGGCTTACCTACTGATCCAAGAAAAGGGAGACAGTCTTCGTGATGTACTCCAGGCTACTAAGGAAATAGCCAAGGCTGATTGTTCTCAGGTAAAGCATACTGTTAGTGGATTTTGTTACAGGAATTGGACTGGATCCTGCAACCTGAGAGAGGCAAGGCTGCCACAGCTTTGTGACCCCAGATCCGACAAGTGGCAACACTGTGCCTGTGTTCCCAGTAGGTACATGCACATGCAGCACACACACATACCTGTGCTTGTATGTATGTAACACAGAGCACTCACAAGAACACAAAATGGGACCAGAGGCCCCATCCTGCTCTGCTTTCTGGCTGAGCAGGATGGAGGTCTACTAGTGGGAATATATGTATAGTGTATGGGCATGTATGATATGTACAGTATGGATCCCTCCAGCAATGGGGCATAGATGGTCAGTATGCACAGTAGGTGGCCCCTGGATCCCAGTCTCACCACTTGCTGGCATCTGGACATACAAGCCCCTGAGGCTGCAGTGCCACTGCAGTTGGTGGTGCAGACTGCCCCCCATCCTGCAGAGGCAGACAGACACACACATACCTCCTCCCCTGCTATCTGGGACTCCCCTGGCCCCCAAGTATGCAGTCCACCCATTGTGGTCTCGCCCTTAGACACACACAAATGCATGCACACACATATACCCCAAGCTGGCTGGAACTTGCCTTTTGTGTGTCACTTATAGCAAAATATGTATTATGTCTCCATTTTGGAATATTTTTAGTTGTTTAGGCTAAGGAAAAAAGGACTGGCTTATTTGTTGGTATTACCTAATTAAAACATGAGGAAGTTGAAAAGAGACTACTAAACTGTTTCTGGTTTTTGGTGACCTCAAATTAGTCTCTGTCCTTTTGTGGTTACTGGAAGATTGCCAAGTCCCTTGTGATATCTGTATTCTTGCTTCTTAAAAGTATGTGCATAGTCTTTCAGTAGTGAA